AAAAAGAAGAGGGGGAATTAGATTTCATCCTTTGTGGGAAGAGTATTGTTGAAGAATTTACAAACATGTCTTAAAACTACCACAGATGATCAATTCTGTTTTAGAGAGATTGAGTTTGAGTCTCTGGGTTCCTTAGCCTGGTTCTGAAGAAAACAGAGTCTGATGTAAGGATGAATCCTTATTTTTTACTTGAAAGGTACACACCCAGGGCAGTGCAAGTAAGGAGTAATGGAGGTGAGACAGGGAAGGATGGAAAGCAATTCAAGATGATGCATTTCCATGCTGGTCACTGCTTCCCAATAAGCCCAAAGAGACAGGACAGGTGGCTTGGTAGTAATGGTGCAACCACATGGACCGCCTCCAGACAAACTGCATGAGATTGTGCTTTGGAGCAATTCATGGGATGGAGAAAGGAGAGGGAGTTTATTTGACTAGCTCTCTCTTGTATTAGTTTTCCATCGCTGCATAACAAATTATCAAAAGTTCGATGGCATAAAATAGTGTTAAAATACCCATTTGCTAGCTCATAGTTTGGTAAGTCAGAAGCCAGGTGTGCTGTGGCTGGGTTTCTTGTTTGAGGTATCATTAGGCTGGAATCAAGGTGTTAGGCTGGCTGAGCTATTGTCTGGAGGCTCTCAGGAAGATTCCACTTTCAAGCTCATTCTTTTTGTTGGCAGAATTCAGTTCCTTGTGGTTGGAAAATAGAGGTCCTGTTTCCTTGCCAGCTGTTGGTCTGGGGCTGCCCTCAGCTCCTAGAGACCACCCACATTTCTTGCCATGTGTGTCCTCCATCTTTAAAAGAGCCATGGTGAGTCAAATCCTTCTTGTGCTTTAAATCTCTAACTTCATCTCCTAAAATAAGCCAGAGGAAACTCTGCTCTAAATGCATGATTAGGTCGGAATCCTCTGGATAATTTCCCTATCTTAAGGTCAACTATGTCATACAACACAGCCTAGTCACAGTAAAATCCAACATAATACAGTCCCAGGGATTATGTACTCTAGTACATAATCTTGGAACTCTTGGGGGCCATTTTAGAATTCTACCTACTATACCTCCCATTCTTAAATCTGATTTCAAAGCCCTTGTTCCCCCTGCTATCCAAAGCTGCTTGATAATATTAACACATAGAGATGTGGATTATTTGGGGCTGACAGTATGTCAATAAATGAGAGGTAGAAATCAAATTCTTCCATTTCTGTTCTGCTTCTATGACTTTTTTCAAAAAGAATGGTCTGTGAATCCTGTCACAAAGTAAGTGCTCAATAAATAGTGTTGAACAAACAATGTACTAGATAGAGAAGAATACCAGAAGGCTTAATGTGATAGGTAAACAGATTTTAAATAAGTACCTAGTTGTTTTAAAAGAAATTCTTTCTAGTTCCAGATGAATTACATTTCTGAGTCCTGGGAGAATAATAGGTGAGATTCTGCAAAACCAACTCAATATAGATCTGTTGAATAAATGAGTGAACAAATTCATTTTGTTTGGTGATCTGACTTCCAAAATATTGAATTATAATAAATTTCTGTTTAGTTATACATGAAATACATTCGTGATTAATTCAATCTGTTATAATCTGATAAAATCATTATATTATTATTTAATTTGTGAATATATTAAAATGTAAATGTAATGTGATAAAGTGCAATGTGGGAACCTCAGTTTCTTCATCACAGATGTATCTTTCTTTTTTTTTTTTTTTTTTGAGACAGAGTGTCACTGTGTTGCCCAGGCTAGAGTGCCGTGGCGTCATCTTAGCTCACAGCAACCTCAAACTCCTGGGCTCAAGCGATCCTCCTGCCTCAGCCTCCCGAGTAGCTGGGACTCCTCCCGAGTAGCTGGGACTACAGGCATGCGCCACCATGCCCGGCTAGTTTTTTCTATATATTTTTAGTTGTCCAATTAATTTCTTTCTATTTTTAGTAGAGACGGGGTCTCGCTCTTGCTCAGGCTGGTTTTGAACTCCTGAGCTCAAACAATCCACCGGCCTCAGCTTCCCAGAGAGCTAGGATTACAGGCGTGAGCCACCGCGCCCGGCAGATGTATCTTTCTTTATTCAAAAGAACTTTGAAGACATTTTAATATATATAATGCTTTTCTCATCCTGTGTGGTACATCTTGTAAAATAGTAACTTTATTATGAGTACCTTTGTCATAGCAATAAGTACTAAAAGTCTATTATGAACTAAAAACTACTTACAGAAAACTGGTGCAAAAAAAATTACATATAAACATGTATACCATTAAAATAGAAAAGATACTACCTAATATGTGATAACTCAGTGCTAGGACACCTTGAACTTTATGATATATCCCAATTTCCAAGATGTTAAAGGTGAAAATAAAACCTATCTTAATACAGTTTTTACACACATGTACTATATAACTAAAACAGAAATTTTACATGTGATATTCTCTATTCTATTTATTTTTAAAAATGATGTTCTGGGTCCACTATATTAATGTTACCACCCACTAATGAGCGGGCCTGATCTAAACACTATCATGTGTCACAGATAATTAGAAACCTTGTTAACATATACAACCAAGGTGCTAATTGCTCAATTCTATAGTAGGTGCAGAAGAAGAAAAGGAACATTTTAATGTGGACAGAAGCCACCTGGAAAGTTTTAAAATTAGAAAGAAAAATTTAGCCTTGAATAGATGGGTAGAATATGGTGAGATAAAGATGAGGAAGTGAACAGTTGAGAAACTTAAACTGGAGGGGGGGAACCCTCAAATGTAAACACAAAAAAATTCTGTTTCTTTTAAAAGAAAATCTAGCCATTTAACTTAATAAAAATAATGTAAGAGCACCATTTCGTATAGTAAAAGTCTCAATAATTTCAAAGATGAGAACAAAGTTTAATGTCTCCCCTACAGAAAATATACAGAAACTTGAAAAAATTAAACACAACTTTCAAAGAATGAAAATAATGTAAAAGCGATTTAGACAAATCTTGCTACAATATTTGTTTTGTATCCTTCTTGTTATAAATTCAAAAGGAATGAAATAGTTTGATAGCAGCCTGAAAACAAGTGGCTGGACATCCTCCCACCCTCAGTTTTTCTGTGCTTCTCTTATATGCAGGCATTAATGCAAAAATGAAATTTTGGAATCCCCTCCTTTCCAACCTCTGTGCGCATTAAAAAAAAAAATCCGAGGATATAATGAGGTACCCAGTATAAAACTGGCTGGCTGAAATCCTCAATAACTTCTGCCTACATTCATCCTCCGAATTTCTCTCTACTCCTGGCAAAAAGCAAACACACACACACACACACACACACACACACACACACACAAGCCCATTTTGTATATGTTTGTAAAAATGTGCACACCACAGTGCAAACATGTGATCGCATTAAAAAAATGTGCAAACTTGGCAGTTAGGAAATGTTAGTAGGTGAAATGCAATCATTAGTAGGTGAAATTTCAGTCCCTTTGATGAAGATACCATCTTTCAGCCAAGCCCTGACAGAAAACCTTTGGTTCCTGTTAGACCCCTCCCTCCCCAGTCAGCTGCAGGGCTCCATCCGGAGGGATGGGGGCTCTCCCTCTCCATCACAGCTAAGCGTTCCCAGAGCCAGGAGAAACCCTGGGTTCCCGCAGAGCACTCAACGTGCAGCAAAGTGTCCCAGCTCTGCAAAGGGCAGCTGGAAATGGATTTAAAATGGCAACGCTGACCAATCAGGGCCGCCGCGCCAAAGCAGACATTTACATGCGCCTCCTCCATATGCACCGCGGAACCTGGCGGTGCCTAACTCCAGGCTTAGGGCTGCAAAGTAGGCGTTTTTATTCCACGGTGGTCTGTATCTGGGAAAAAAAAATTCTCCCCCAGGTGAAAGATTTTATTTTGGAATTAGTCCAAAATAATTTTGGGTGTGATGTGTGAAAACCTGAACCTAATTTTTTCAGAGTTTTGTGTTATTCAAGGATGAAAAGAGGTACATTTTAAAATGTACTCCACCTCTTAAAAACGGACTGTGGCCATTATGGGTGTTCACATAACTCAGAAACAGCCCAGGCTATAAAATTAGGACTTGGCAGAAAGGGAGTTCTTAGGGAGAAGGTTAAATCGAGGTAAATTGAAGGGAAAGTTGGGCAGTTGGTGCAATTGTGGGCTTAGCAATCCACGAGGTCCCCTTTACACTGCTAGCGTCGCAACCCGGGGAGACTTCCCTCGCCTCAGTCTTTTCCGGAGGAAAAAGGTTCACTCAAGAAGCTGGCGCGCTCCGTGTGCGTGTGTGCACATTGTTTGCACGTGTCTGCGAATGTGCATGCCTATCCGCGTGCCTGTGTGTGTAAATGTGCGTGTGTTTGAGAGTGCATCTGAGCGCGCGAGTGTGCACGTGTATCCGCGTGCAAGTAAGTGTGCATGCGTTTACACTTGTGTGCGTGTGTATCTGCGTGCATGTGTCTGTATGTGCGTGCGCGCTCTGTGGGGAGGGCATTCCGAGACCGAGGAGGGCTGTCAGGGGCCGTCTCCTACTCCTCTGTAGTCCCTTTCCATTCTCAGGGAGCAAGAACGCTGCCGCGGGTGCAGCCAGAGTCTTCCTGCAAAGTGTTGGCTCCGCACCGCGGAAGCGCAGGTAAAGGCCGATCCCCGAAACGTGGCTCTGGGATAGTCACGTTTCCTCACCTTTCCAGGACAAATGCCCAGGGGTGACCTCGGGCGGCGGGTGGGGCGAGGCCCGAGGCGAGCCGGCCCGGGATCCCCAGCCTGTCCCTTTAACCCCGCCGCCGGGCGGGAGCACGTGAGCGGGGCTCCGGGTGGCACCCGGGCGCCGCCGCCGCCGAGGCAGTTGTATTTCGAACGCTGCCTCTGGCCCGCGGCCAGGCGCCTTGGCTCGGCGGTCCGCCTGGCCTCCCTCCTCCTCATACTTTTCTTCCTGCGCAGCCCCCTCCCCTTTATCCGCCTACGATTAGAGGTGGGCACTCCCCACCCCCCACCGGCCGCCACCCCCTCCCCAAGCACACACACACTCATCCCACTTGAATCCTGGGGCAGGAACTCAGAAAACTTCGAGCCAGGGCAGCGCGCGCTTGGTTCAGGACGCCGGAGAGAGCAGCCCGTCCCCCTCCGACTCTCCGGTGCCGCTGCCGCTGCCGCCTGCTCCCGCCACCCGAGGAGGCGCAGTGCCACCCACTGCTCTGTCCCTCCCTTGTGCTCGGTGCCCGACCCTGTCCCGGCGGAATCTCCTCAACCTCTCATTACTTTCCGACTGCCCAAGGCACTTTCTCTCTCCCTCTCTCTGTCTGTCTCTCTCTCTCTCTCTCTCTTGCTCTGTGAGCGCGGAGCGGGGGGGAAGAGGAGGAGGAATTCTTTCCCCGCCTAACATTTCAAGGGACACAATTCACTCCAAGCCTCTTCCCTTTCCAAGCCGCTTCCCAAGTGCTCTCGGTGCCCGCAACTCCTGATCCCAAACCGAGAGAAGAGGCTCTCCAACCTCAAGCCCTCTTTCCCTTGTCCTTCGCTTCCCTCCTCCTCTCGCTACCTCCACCTCCACCGCCACCTCTACCTCCGGCACCCACTCACCGCTGCCGCCGCCACCGGCAGCGCCTCCTTCTCTCCTCCTCCTCCCCTCTTCTCTCTTTTTGGCAGCCGCTGGACGTCCGGTGTTGATGGTGGCAGCGGCGGCAGCCTAAGCAACAGCAGCCCTCGCAGCACGCCAGCGCCCGCTCACCCAGCCTGCTTCTCCAGCCCTATCACCTAATCGCCCGAAAGGTGCTGAGCAGATTCGGGCAGTTGAGGCGAAGCGGCTGCAGCGGCGTTAGCGGCGGCGGGAGGCAGGATGAGCGCACGCGGTGAAGGCGCCGGGCAGCCGTCCACTTCAGCCCAGGGACAACCTGCCGCCCCGGCGCCTCAGAAGAGAGGACGCGGCCGACCCAGGAAGCAGCAGCAAGTCAGTACGCGGGCGCGGTGGGGGCACCAGCCCACCCCCGTTCCCGCTGCCAGGGCCGGGCGACGCGCCGGGCGACCCGAGCGCGGGAGCCCAGTCGCCGGCCACGGCACGCTGCCCGCCGGCGGCGGGGGAGGGGGCGGAGGGCGGGCGGCGGAGTCCCCCACGACTGAGCCGCGGAGCCCCGGGGCGCCCGTGTTCTTCTGGGCGGGGAGGTGGGGAGCCGCGGCGGGCGGCCGCGGGAAGGCGGGAGGTGGGGTTGGGCGAAACTCTTCCTCGGACTTTCGCTATTGTGCACGGCCCTGAGTGGCGCGGTATCGCCTGGTGACTGCAAGTGGCCGGGGTCCCGCAAACCAGGGCTCTCCAGAACTTTCCGAGCCGCTTTTGCAATTGCCGGAGGGGAAGGAGGTGCCGGGGACCGGGACGCTCCGGCCGATCGGGGCTGAAGGGGCTGGAGTCCTAGGGATCGAGGGCTCTTTCTCCCGCCTCCCGGGGCTGCTCGCGGGCCGGGGGCGGGTGCGCCGCAGTCACCCACTTGGCGCCCTCCTCAAACTCCGGGTGGCCCAAAACTCGCGCCCTCCCGACAAAGAACGCGTGGGGACCGGGCTGCCTGGTCCTCTTAAGGCTCTTTAAATGCTGTGCGGCAGCCGCCGGAGGTGGCCTGGGAAGGGCGAATGGGGGAGCCTGGGCCCCCGCGGGACGAGGTTAACTCGTTCGGCCAAGGGCGCGTTGGTTCAGTACGCCAGAGTGTCCGAGAGGGTGCACGGTAGCTAGGGTCGCTTCCTCGTTAGGCGTCCCGTCCCCCTTTTGCCCCCGAATCCGGCGCCTCAGAGCTGCAAACATTAAATGTTCTTCTCCTAAGCGAGTGGCTGGGGGTTGGGAGGGCAGGATCGAGGGGAGCCCGGGACCCCGCGGAGTGGAGGGTTTTGTCTGCGGATACAACCAATTAAGCGTGCAGCCGGCGCTTGCAGAGCTGCGCGCAGCGCCCAAGGCTGGGGGTTTTGTTCGCTGCAATTTCCAAGCCTCGGCGGGCAGGATTGGAGCGGGATATGTCTATTGAGAACATTTAAACTCCACTTCTTGGGCTTTAAAACTTCTCCTTCGCTCCTTAGCTTTAAATCACTTCCTTCGTGGCAAATAGGCCGATTAGAAAATAATCCTAGAGTCCCAAAGCTGCCCGAGAGTAAGGTGGGGAAATTGAACAATGTTTGCTTGCCAGTGCATTTTAGAAAAACTGAGAGAGTTGTACCTTTTTGAAATCATCAAAGGAAACAAGCTAATCTAGAGGCCCCTGAGTTTTCCCGCTCTGCCCAAGCGACACTTTACACCGCATTTGAATCCTGTTTTACACCTCCCAGGAAGTCTCTGCCCTCCCCCACTTGTTTCCCATCCGCCGCCTAGCTCTCCCTAACTTTCCTAATTGCTCCCCCCCCCAAAAAAAAATTCCAGAAGAAAATGCACTGGGGTCTGGAGGTGATTGGATGTTTTTACCTTTGAGTTAATACAGAGTTCACAAAGAAAGAAAAATGTGTCTCCAATGTGTTTGCACTGGATGTGCCCAACTGGCTCTAGTGGTCCCACAGAAAGCTTGCAGGGAACCTTCCCCAGATTCTGTAAATAGGATGCGAATTTCCATTGAGGACTTTCATGTGTTTTAAGTTAATTAGTCTCACTTAATCACTGAATCTGAATGAAATGTGAATAGATGATTCACTGGATAAATATTTAGGATCTGGAATATTAATCATCACATTCTCTTAACCACTTGAGTATTTACTACTTGGCATGGGAGCCATTTAAAGTTTTGCTAAACCTAGTGATTGTTTCAATTTCTCCTTCCCAGACACTCCATTCCTCCTCATTTCCCCCGCCAAGCCTTTTATTTTTCTCTAATCCACCCCCGTAAGAGTTTTCTCAAAAGAAAGTTTTGAAGAAAAATTGTTTATTTTTATCAAAAGCTATTTAAATTTAGACTGGAGACCATGTCTGCATCTCCAAAAGGAAGTGGAGAATTGAAGCAATTATGTAGATAATTCAAGCAAAACCTCCCACCACAGATTTACCATAATTATTTGGAAAGTTTAGGGGGAATGGAGTTATTTTGAACTGAAGAACTTGGATAATTGCTCCAATATTTCACTCACAATGTGTCGGTTTGAGGCGTAATAGACCTAGAATGCAGGTATACAGAGATGATTAAAAACTGCCTTTTCAATATGGAAGATGGTTGAAATATCTATGACGTTAGCTTCATATTTCTGTTGTTTGAAATACTAGTATAATGGATAGTGGTATTCATATAAAATGGTTATTATTTCTGTGAGTTGCCAAACGCATCACCATGTAAACTTTACACCTTCAAAATATATGACTTTCTTTCTAGAGCATGCAATATTTTGGCCTTTGTTACTATTGTAGGTTTGAAATAGAATCTAGTTTTCATATACAAAATAGAGTTTCCTCTTTGGACCCTTGCATTAAAAGTATGGTTATTACACTTTTCTGTAAACTCTGTACCATCATCATCCATTTATGCCTGAACTGAATGTGTTCCAACGGCTCTATTGAGCAGTCGTTTCAGAAAATAACAGCTAAAGAGTCAGGGTCGATTTCTTTCAGACGGTCTTGCCACAACAGCATTTTTTTCCCCCCACAATTAGGAGCCAACCGGTGAGCCCTCTCCTAAGAGACCCAGGGGAAGACCTAAAGGCAGCAAAAACAAGAGTCCCTCCAAAGCAGCTCAAAAGGTGAGATTTCTGGAATCAAGCTGTCCTAACTTTTATCAGTGACTATAGAAACCTCCCTGTAACTTTCCCATTCTGAATCCACACCTAAGGATTTGTCCCAACTGGGTAACCCAGGACTCATTTCCTACGTTTAACATCAGTTAGATGGGAGTTAACTTTTCTTCTAAGTAGATGCTTAGCATAAAAAATTCATGAAGATACTTACAATGTTGTTTTTAAACAAACAACCACCAAATAATATGAACCTTAAAATCAGGGAGTGGGGAGGAAGGAAGGGGGAGTGGAGAATGACAGAATAATATTTGCACCAGTTGTAAAATAGTTAAAAACAAATGAAAACAATAGATTCGCCTGGTGGTGAAGTTTTTGCAATTTCCTGTGAAAAATAATAGAGTTTAATTTACTTTGTGCTTATTTACATGACTACTGCAAACCAAGTCCTATTAAAGTACTTTGCCAAATAGATAATAGTTAAAAGTAAATCCAATTATGGGATACTGGAAACAATTTCATGAATTTTACAGCTTTAATTGTGATGATAAAGTATACCGTTTGTTCTACAATAAACCGGCAATGTAGTATATCATAATCTCAAAAAGCCTTTCCGTCAAGTGATACAGAAAAACTCTGAATTAGACAATTAGAAGTTTTAACAGATATTTGACTTATTTAATATATATTTTTGGGCTGGACAAAACCCAGTCAAGTGTAACATTCAGCACTTTTCTGAATAAATTTTAAATTGCAGTTTAAAATAGTTTCATGTTGGTTGTATTTGAGCTAGAGAAGAGGAAATATCTTAGGGTCAGTGCATGTATAGAGAAGTGAAGATGAATATAAAAGTTAGTCATTTTTTTGGCTTTATAAATAAATTGGAAAAAAAGTTTCTGCATTTTATTTGTAGGTCTGTATAGTAGTTGAGAACAAAGGTTTAAAAATGAGAAATAAATTTCGATATACTTTTTCAATAGATTTGAGTACACCATGTTTAATATTTGTTAGAAAGGACTGTATGCTCATCTTTATGGGGTTAATGTTTTGTGTGGTTTTTCTCCATGACTTGGGCACTAACCATATTATATGTGATAGTTTTCAGTGTTGTAAACTGCCATAGCAACTAGTTATCTAGGAGGTTACTATAAAGTTATTTAGAAAGTAACTATGACTTCTTGTCTGTTTTAACAGTTTTGAACAGAGTTGAAGGAGCAGATTTTTAGTATAATTAAATTTAACTGCTGCTTAGTGTTTAGGTTTAATTGTGATTTATATTTAATTAATAAACTTTAAAGTAGCTCTAAGTAAACTTGTTATTTAAAAGTGGCAATAATATAATCTGGTATTCCCAATATGAATACTTTGTTCCATTTTACCTGGTTTATAAGTTAACGAAAAAGAACTAATTTTACCAGGGAGTTTTTCTATGTTGCATAAGTATGGAATTTACCTTATTTAATTTTATTCTAAGGACATGGAAAAGGAATGTGTTAGTAGTTAGCTAACAAACATTTAAGCTTTGATGTAATTGCTCTAAAAAAAAATGAATCATTATAATATCTCCTAGGAAGAAATCTTTAAATCTCATCATAAATAAATTGTTTGGAATTTAATACAAAAAAAAAGGAAAACAAATTACCTTCCAGATTTCACTGTATTACATTTTTTGAATGAGTAAATAGAAATGTTCCCATCACTTTCTCTTCATTTGAAAAAGTTTACCACTGGCTACCGAAATCTTTATTGACAAAAGGAAAGTTGAGACTTGTGCCTAATTTACCACTTAAAGCAAAATAAAAAAGTTGCTCTATTCCCAAGTAAGGTTGGATTTATTTTTAGTGACTTTAGTGCTAGGCATTTACAAATGACTCTCCTAGGTAACTCATCTTCCTGATAATTATTCATATGTATGCATACATTATTACAATTTCCAAAACAGAAGTAGGTTTTCTTTTTTTCCAAAGAAGTCCTTCTCTTAAATCTTTCATACTTCCAGAAACAATTATTTCACACAATTCTGTTATAAAAGTCCCTTTTGTAATAAAAGTGAATAAATACATTTACCCATAACATGACTGTTATTTTTCTTCAATTTTGTAAATTACGCTTCATTTGGAGAAGATAATACTTTGCGTAATAATGAATGACATTGATGAATCATTCATGGCATGTGTAAACTTAAGGTATTTTCACTTTCAAATCAGTATTTGTTGAATATGCTACTTTATATAAACATGATGTTCAAACATATTTGTTTATTAAGTGTATATTGTGTTCTAAAAAACACATATGCTTGTTAGGATTTTGAAATGCAAATCTTTTTAGAAAAAATGATTTTTCATAACATGTAAGATAAACATACCCTGACCAGAGTAGATATGAGAAGTCTTCTATGATTAATAAATTGGGTGTTTTCCTGCAAACTGAGACTCACCACAATGAAAAATACATTACAAAAACTGGTAAGTATATGAGAAGAAAGAAGTCAAAAATTAGAGAAGATGCAATGTACACTGGACTCCTCATGATGTTGTGTTTAAAATTTCTTGCTGCTTGAAATTTCTTTACTTAACAAAGTTTGTGTTTAGACGCAGTAACTGGCCTTGGGGCATTTGAAAACAAAACTGCTTGTTAGAAAATGAACAGTGTGAAACTTGACAATGCATGCAGAATATTGCAAGACCAAGTGGACGACTACTAAATTAGCCATCACTTTAATTTCAGACTATATTCAATAGAAAATTGATTTATGTAATATGTAAAACAAACACATTTATAAAAACACAATTTGTTATGCTTGGAACTTTTGGAAGAGAAGATAAGTATTCTTTGATCTACATATATTCCATTAAAACTAATTCCCATGGATGTCCATTATATGACAATTGTAGTCATTCCTGAGGAATCCAATCTGAGTGCTCAGAATTTGTCCCTGAACCAGTTTCCTATTGTTACCTTAATAAAAGGAAAGAAGTCAGAAGTTAATGTTATACTGAATAATTAATTTATCCATATGTCTGTGTGTTTGTGTATGTGTTTTTACTCCTTTATTTATTTTTTAGTTTGCTGTACACCTATGACCAGTTGTCTCTTAATTTTATTTTATTTTTTTTAGTTTTGTTTTCCTGTCATGGTTGTGCTGGATAGAAATACTTTTTATTTTCATGTCTCCCATGTTTGGAGAGAAGGAAGTTATAACCTCCTTTAGTTTAGGGTTTTGTTGTTCCTTTTTCATCCTGAGAAAGAGGGGTTGTCACTAAATTCTTCAGTGTTTAGAGTCTCAAGTCAAATTCATCTTTAAGTTTCAAGCCAATTCTCACTCAAGTATTTTTAGGAAAAATTTTTTTCTGAAGTTGAATTAAATTTTATTAGAAGGAAAATGAATATAACAAAATCTCAGGTGTAAGATAACCCTACTTCATAATGTCATAGATTTGCTTAATCTTCCTTTTGACTTTAGATGTAGTGGCCAGACCTAGACAGCAAAGTACAGAATGAAAATATCATCTAGGTAAAGCAGCTATAGTTTAAATAATCTGTTCAGAATAAATATTTAATGTCTATCTTCAATTTGCTATAAAAGAAGTACTGACATTAATTGAATGCTATAAAGACTAGTTTATGCTCCTTCTAATCATTTGCATTCCTAGAAATGTGGTTTATTTTTCACAAATCATTGCTAACACCAATCACTGATATTCTAGGAAGAGAAAATGTGGGTTTTATTTACCATTTCAGATAACTCATGGAGCATAGATGCTCAGTGAGGACAGAATTTTCTTCAGAATATAGTAGGCCTAACTGTAGAAAGTAACCAACATCATTATACGTAAGTCAGGGAAAGGTGTTGGAAGTTGTCATATAATTCCAGCCTATGGTTTCTACAGTACTAATATGATTTAGTTTGATTCCTGTGTGCTTTAACAGGCAGGTAAGTTCCATTTTGGGATTCAGGACCCTATGTGAGTATACAAATGAATTTGGGCAGGGGGAATTAAGTAAAGCCCAACTGCTGTCTCCATTATCTTTATATTTCAGGCTGACTTACCTAAACAATTGACTCATTTTTTCATTTTGCTTTACTAGAGAAGAGTAAGCCTCACCTAATGCATCAGCAAATTCTATCTGGTAATGCCTTTTTTGTCATCACAGATTATATTCAAATATGGGAGATTTAAATACGTTTGAATTACTTTATGAAGTAACTTTATTTCAAGGGAACCCTAGTTCTTTCTGATTCTCTGGAAGCTATCATCCTTCTGAACTCTTCTGAACTTGAAAGCTCCTCATTACTTTGGCTGACCTACATTCCTGGCTCATTTTTATCTCAACGTCTCAACAGATCATTTTGCTAAGGAGATAGAATATACCAGATTGGTATTCTGTTGCATTTCAGTTCTTTCTTGAGAATAGATGGATGCTGAAGGATCATTCAAACCTGTCTTGTCTTGTTAGTTGACTTTCTGCAGTTTCCAGAACAGAAGACACAGGTGGAAACTGAATTGCACTGTCCTAGATTCTGATATTTTTAGTTATGAATCTTTGTTTTGCCAACCAGAAGAAAAAGGTGAATGGAGAGCTGACTGTATTTTAGGCTATTGCTTTATTTCACATTGCTTTAATACACTGACCAATTTTGAATGGCTTATTGTATTTGATTTAGTGAGAAGTAGTATGGGCATTCTCTTTTGTCTAGGATAATAACAGATTTGTTCAGAAGGTAATCCCTGTGAAATTTTGTATCATTACTATTAATTTTTCTGATTACAAAAGAGGCAAGGGGAAGGTTTGGAGGAGGAAAACCTGAAATTTTGAAAATGACAACCTTTTGTGTTATTTTGGCTTTGGTTTTAATTTAGCGCTTGTGTATGTGAAGATAAGCATGTGCAAAATAATGACGTAGAAGTTGACAATGAGGGCCTCCTTGGGTAAAACAAGAAAGAACAACAATGGATGATGGGATTTACTTATATTTCCTATTGAAAAATTTATTGTGATAGCAAATT